TGTCAGAAGCTGGCCTGAGTCCCCATGGGGAGATAGGGCGGGATACAAATGAAGTTGTTTATTATTATGTTATTGTTTTTATAATAATGTTTATTGAGGCAATATTTTACATCAAACAATAAAAGATATATGGGGTAGGTATGGTATAGGGGCAACAAGGGGGAAAAAACACAAAAGAAAAATATATAACGATAAAAAACGGAAGATCGGAAAATAGGAAATAGGGAAGATCAGGGGTAAATTATGTACTTCTATTCAACTTCATCCTGGTTACTGAATTCCTTAAAGTTCAATGTCCTAGCTATGCTCCTCCTCTTTGTTGTCCTGAGATTAGGGATAATTTATCTTTAAGTTAAATTATAATATTCCCTTTATTTTTTTAATGCAATCTTTAAATAAAGCCCAGTCTGTTATTTTCTTGGTTTTACCTTGATATTTTGTTATCAGTTGGGGCAGTTTATCCATATTCATTCTTTCCATAACTTTTGTTAGCCACTGGTCTATTGAGGGTTTTTCATCTGTTCTCCATGTTCTGGCATATACTATTCTGGCTGCCACCATATGCGTAAATAGTTTATCCTTGTTTATATCCCATTCTATGTCTGTCATTCCCAGTAAAAAAATATTCTGGTTTGAGTTTAATCTTTGTATTAAGAATTCTGACTTATTTCTTTCCAATATGCTTTTGCCGTTCCACAAGACCACCACATGTGGTAAAATGTCCCTTCATGTACCTTGCAATCCCAACATTAATTACACATATGTTTATAGTATTTAGCCAATTATTGTGACGTGATGTGCCATTGGTACATCATTTTAAAGCAGTTCTCCTTCATATCACATGAGTATGTGTATTGTAGTTTCTAGGTCCAAATCTTCTCCCATTCTTCCATCTTTATTAGCTTTCCTATGTTTTTCGCCCATTTTGTAATACTTTAACTTGTTCTGTCTCTGAGCTACAGTCTAGTAATACCTATTTTTGCAACTAGCTTCTTTTCTGTTACCATTATTCTGTCCCATGGAGATGTTCTTTCTGAAAAGCCTATTACTTTATCTTTTGGGAGATCCTTTCTTTTTCTTTTGACCAAAGATCCTTAACATTTATCCTACATTCAATTATTTTAATGCAAATAACTCCATTTACTTTGAAGTTGATTTTTTTCCTTTAACTTACTTTTGTTCCACTGCAGATGCAACGTGGTTGCTTGATTCTTATTTACTGAAGTGTGCAAGGCTGGCAATTATTCAAGAGGTCGGTTGATCTCCTGTTTCGCCCTGTGTTGACCTGCTCACCCAGCGGAGGTCTCGGCAGCTCCTAGACCATCGGTTCAACCCCCTTTGGGCTTGGCTGTCTTTCCTGGCCTCGATCTACCAGGAAAGAGGGAGCTAACCGCTCTCCCGGTCAATCTAGGGCTGGCGCTTTGAGAGACCTCAAAACATCCATCCTGCCGCTGTACCACTCTATTGGAAGTCCCCTATAAAGTTATTGTTGATGTCATATTGTTTGGGGGGGGGGGGTTGTATAAATTTTTATTTTATTTAAAGTAGTAAGGGTAAAAAGTAAAAGAAGAAAAAAATGTTCAAAATTCCAAGTAAAGTGGGGGAACAATTGTATTGATAGAAAGTAGGAAAGATGAAAGAAAGAGGGAAAAGGGGGGGGGGTACAATTAGGGAGGCCTGATTTAAAAAGAAAAAAGAAAAAAGGGAAAAAAGAAGGAAAATGAGAGAAAAATTCAAACAGATCGTATAAATCTTTCGCCTTTTAACCATACTGTTTTTGTTGACCCTACTTTTCCACTTACAGAGCTAGTTTACTGTTTTTCTTTGAAATACAGTACATATTCAAAAACATTTAAACTACCAATGTTTCAATTAATGTAATTTTATTGGTATCTTGTATTTTGAAATTTATCAGTAGCTGCTGCATTTCCCACCCTAGGCTTATAGTTGAGTTGATAAGTTTTCCCAGCTCTTTGTGGTAAAATAAGGAGCCTTGGCTTATATTTGGGTTGACTTATACTTGAGTATATATGGTATGTATCACTTATATTTGATAGCCTTGTTCATGGCCTTTGCCCTTTAAAAGTTGCTATGTTCTAGTACCAACATTGAAAGAGTATGGATCAGTCTCTGCCTTTTAGTTTTTCATTTCACTTTCCATTTAAGAATATATTTCACAATGACACTTGTGATAGCATTTAAGATGTATGCAGGCAGTCCCTGTGTGACAAATATCCAACATACAAATGTCTCATAGTTAGGAACAGGGATGAGACAACAGGAAGTGAAAGAAATCGACCCCTCGGAAGGGAAATTCACTTCTGAAAGAGGTATCATGGGACAAAGGGGTGTAAATGAAACTTTATCATCAATCCTTGTTTCCATAACAAGCCAAATTTTTCAAAATCCAATTGACACGAGGACAAAAAGTGAGGTGAAATCTTCTGAACATGGGGCATGGACAGCAAAATAAACACCACAGGGTTAGCCCTTCGCTATGCTATCCAAGGGGAAACCCTCCCCTATGCTATCCAAAGTTAATCTATATATTTGCCTGGAGTTACATTTAGAAATATACCTGTTCTGACTTACATACAAAGTCAACTTAAGAACAAACCTACAGAGCCTATCTTGTTTGTAACTTGGGGGCTGCCTTTATACCTTTTTCCTACACTTTGCAACATGGCAAAATCACTCTAATTTTCCAGAAGTATTTCCTCCCCCCTAGTTAAATAAAAGATGACCATAATGGGGAAAAATGAATGTTGAATAATAAACGTAATAAGTAACTGATAAACTTAATAAGTAACTTATTTACTTATTTGGCACACTTATACCCCATCCTTCAGTCAAAAATGCCTCCAGTCGGCTGATACATCATTAGTTCAACAGTTCTCTGCCCACAGGCTTACAATCTAAATAAAATATGAAACGTACGGAAAGGAGTGGGTGCAGGGATTAAGGTGTCTATTCTTTTCTGTGTCAGAGGCCATCGCAGCTGCAAAGGTAGTTATTGGTGCTATTTGTATCCAATCTCACCTCCAACAAGCTCAATATAGCATACATGGTGCTCTGCCCTCCGCACTTTATCCTCATAACAATCCCATGAGATGCAACAGTCAAAAGCAGACCAACTTAAGGTCACTCAGTAAATTCAACAGCTCCGTGGGGAAAAGCAGGTTCTCCCAAGTGCTACTCAACTCCAATCACCAAACTTTATTTTTCAACATTTTCAAGTACACTAAAATTTTGAAATAATGTACTGAGTACAAGAGCGCCCACATCCATGCCCTTGAGCCTCACAGTCATCACTAAGTGGAACTCACAGTCATCACTAAGTGACCTGACTAATTCCTAACCATAACATGCTTTCAAAGTGAGGGACGGGAAGCTCCCCAGCCGGAGGACATTTGAGTCAGCTGTTGGGAGTCCAGCACTTCTCATCTGAGAAGTTAAAAACTGCCAGCTATGCCACATCTTCCTATGTGGCAATGAGGTCTATAAACATCCAGAGTTCACCAATAAAGGCCCTGTAGTAACCTACAGATGTGAGAGCTGGACCTTAGGAAGGCTGAGCGAAGGAAGATAGACGCTTTTGAACTGTGTTGTTGGAGGAAAGTTCTGAGAGTGCCTTGGACTGCGAGAAGATCCATCCAGTCCATCCTCCAGGAAATAAAGCCCGACTGCTCATTGGAGGGAAGGATAATAGAGACAAAGTTGAAGTTCTTTGGCCACATCATGAGGAGACAGCAAAGCCTAGAGAAGACAATTATGCTGGGGAAAGTGGAAGGTAAAAGGAAGAGGGGCTGACCAAGGGCAAGATGGATGGATGGCATCCTTGAAGTGACTGGACTGGGGGAGCTGGGGGTGGTGACGGCCAACAGGGAGCTCTGGCGTGGGCTGGTCCATGAGGTCACGAAGAGTTGGAGACGACTGAACGAATGAACAACAACAACAAGAGGGCCTTTGGCAGAGAGCAGGAGCTGTGCTGGCAATAACATCTCCAAAAGGCACCAGATGCCACCTGAGCAGAGACAGTCTTGTTAGTAGGTTATCTGCCAGGGTTTGGTTCCAGGAACCACAGTGGTTATCAGTGCCTATGAATATTCAAGTCTCATTAGATATAATGGTGTAGTAAAATGGTGTTTCTTATATGATAGCAAAACCAAGGTTAGCTTTTAAATGCCAAGCTGTGGATGATTGAATCTGTGGATTCAGATTCTGTGGATACAGAGGGATGGGTGTACTTGGATGGGAGATCATCCCAGAGGACGGAACTAGAAATGCCCATCTCTGAGTACTCCTTGCCTTAGTAGAACTAAGGCAGTTTGACACCACTGTAAACTGCCACAGTTCCATGCTATGGGATCATTAGTTTAATAAGGTCTTTAAATTTTCCTGCCAAAGACTGCCAAACTATAATTCCATAATTCCATAGCACTGAGCCAAGGCAGTTAAAATGCTGTCAAATTAAGTCTACAACGTAGAGGCACCCAAAGGAAACCCTGCGAAATTCTTGAGGTCTGCCACTCACAACCTTCCTATATCAGGGAGAGTATCACCTACAAAAGGAAAGGCTTGTTTTGGGAGCCAGCTTTGGGAGAAAAAGCGGCATACAAGTCACATAAATAAATAAACAGGAATAAAATAAATAAATACAAAGAAGGGAATCCCTGGGTGTCTTTCACCCTCTGGATATAATAATGTAAGAAAGACAAGGGAAAGCAAACCCCCTGCTCCGTGAAAAGGTAGCCTAGAACCGCAACCATTTCAGTGCGCATGCGCAGTGGCACCTCGTTATGTACACCTCCCTCCCGGGAACAGAAGGTAAAAGGTGTCCCAGGACAGAGACAGAACCCTTCCTCCCCACACGCATGCGCAGTGCCTCCTCCCCTCACTCTCTCACACTGTGGAGGAAAGAAGCGGAGAGCGATCATGAGGGGAGTAAAGACGACTTGCTTTCAATCTCGTCCAAGTCTACACGCCCTCTTTCTACTTACACAACGGCTCGGGAAATAATAGACGACACCATATTGCAGGTCTTGCGGCGGGCGTGCCGTCGTCGCCCTCTCCTCTCTCCCTCCGCGGCCGCCGCGGCCCCTGAGCCGCCTCACCGACGACTGTGACGCTCCGCCTCCTCCTCGCACCTCCAACCTCACAATAGGCGGAGGCCACGCCCAGCCGCTCTCCGATTGGCCCGCCGCCGCCCGGCCTCGTTCCTTCGCCGCCTGCAATCGAGCCGAGCGGAGCCAAAGCGCATGCGTCGCGCTCTTGGACGGCGAAGCGAAGATGGGTATGTAAGGAGCGGCGGAGGTTATGCGCAGGCGTGGTCTGTCCCCTTCCCCATATATCCACGGCTATAGGGTGGCGGCTGGCGGGTGGACTCAAGCCCCGGCCCCGAAGGAGCTTTCAGAAAGGCAGGATCTGATTCCTTATTGCTTTGCTGTCCTGGCTGCCTTTCGGGCAATGCACTGGGAGCCAGTCTGCGAAGGCGCCAAAGCGTCGCCATACTTTCCTTGCAAGAGTTTACCTTCTTGTCCTGGGAGGCTTTTCTAGAAAACGGGAGAGGAAAGCCGGTTTCCTTGGGAGTGGCAGGGGAAGAGGGGAAACGGCCGTCTTTCCTTACCGATCCCCACCGTTTAGGCGTTTGGTTGATTTGCTCCTTGGAGAGGGGGCGGAATTCTTCCCAGTAGATGGCCTTGGATCCTCAGATACGCCGCCCATCCAGTATGCAAACGGTTTGCGCTTTCGCCATGCTCAGAAGGAATTCAGACCTGAAGCTTGGGTGGCAAAATGGGCGTAGGGAAGAAAGGGAAGGTCTGAATGTGGAAAAATCGGGACAGAGCAAACGACAAGTGGATCAGCTGACCTTGCAGTGCTTTGAAATATGCTTCTGGGTAGGATCCCCCCCCCCCGTTGACCGTTGTCCCACAAAGAGCATCCACACTGCAGGATTAATGCAGTTTGGCACCGATTGCTCAGTGCTATGTAATCCTGGGAGTTGCAGTTTTATAAGGTCTTTAGCTTTCTTTATGAAAGAGTGCTGGTTCCTCACCAGAGGACAAATCCTACCATTCCATTCCACTGCGCCCTTGCAATCAAAGAGGTGCCAAACTTAATTAACTGTACAGTGAAGATCAGAGGCGGCCCTAGGTAATTTTCAACTGTAAGCAAACAGTATTTTGCCCCCCCCCCCCAACCAATCACTGATATATATTTTTTGTTTGTCGTGGGAGTTCTGTGTGCCATGTTTGGTTCAATTCCATCATTGGTGGAGTTCAGAATGCTCTTTGATTGTAGGTGAACTATACATCCCAATAACTACAACTCGCATATGTGAAGGTCTATTTTCCCCCAAGAGTGCCTCAGGAGCGCCCCTGGGCAAAATCAACTATACTGCAAATGCTTGCTTTGCATAAAGGGTTGAGCCGCCCCTGGTGCAGATGCACTCGTAGACATTAATCATATGGAAGCTTCTTCTGTTTGCTTCTGGAATATAATGTATTCTTCCTTCCCTCTTACACTAAAGCTAGTTCCCTATTTTTGGTTTTACAGGAAAATTGTGACAGCTGGAAGTTCCTAGTGGCATGCTCTCCTTGATCTGAATCACATTGTTACACTGAATTAACAACTCTATTCCAAGCTCTGCTCCTCTCTCAGGACCCTTCCACACAGTCATATAACCCAGAAAATCCCACAATATCTGCTTTGAACTTTATTTGATGCCCCTTCTGCACTGCCATATAATCCAGATTATGAAATCAGACAATCCACATTATCTGCTTTGAACTGGATTATCTGAGTCTATACTGCCATATAATCGAGTTCAAAGTTGATAATCTGGTTTTTACCTGGCAGTGTAGATGGGCCTCATATAATCCAGTTCAAAGCAGATAATGTGGATTATCTGCTTTGATAATCTGGCTTATATGGCACTGTAGAAGGATTCATATACAAATTGAGCATCCTTTATGTGGAAATCAGAGCTCCCGGTGGCGCAGTGGGTTAAACCCCTGTGCTGGCAGGACTGAAGACCAACAGGTCACAGGTTCGAATCCGGGGAGAGGCGGATGAGCTCCCTCTATCAGCTCCAGCTCCTCATGCGGAGACATGAGAGAAGCCTCCCACAAAGGATGATAAAAACATCAAATCATCTGGGTGTCCCCTGGGCAACGTACTTGCAGACGGCCAATTCTCTCACACCAGAAGCGACTTGCAGTTTCTCAAGTCACTCCTGACACGACAAAAAAAAATGTGGAAATCCAAAATCCCAAACTGTCCACTTTAGTGGCTGAGGTAGTGACACCTTTGCTTTTGGATGGTTCAGTGGAATTTGCACAAATATTGTTTCATGTTTTATTTAAAATATTATGTGCAAAATTACCTTCAAGGAAGATGTAGATCAAACATAAATTAATTTCTTGTTTTGACTTCAGTCCCTTCTCCAAAATATCTCACTGTGTACATTTATGCAAATCCAGGTATTCTAATATCCCCCAAAATATCCAAAATACTCTTAGACCCTTTCTGCACTGGGGAGAATGTGCTTGTATATGTGCTTTCAAGTCCTTCATAAATTTCATAGGATATAGGGATACTCAAAAATGATTCCTTCCACTGAAACATAGCCTATAGCACCTGGTATTCATTGCTGATCTCCCATTCAAATGCTATCCAGGGTTGTCCTAGTAAGGTTCTGGTGCCTTTACGCCATTTTTGAGAGTTTTGAGACCTCTTAATGCTTGCTAGTGTATATCATTCCTTCTTCCACGAGTCCTAATAGAGAGGAGTTAAGAGCCACTGGAAGCCAACAAGTCTGCAATCTCCACATTCTCATGTCATGTTGCTATAAGAAAAATCTGCATATATGGTAAATGGCTGTGACGTTTCATCTTCCAGCAATGAGAAAACATCTCATAATGTACTAACCCCTGATCAGTTATGAAATCGTAACTCTTCAGTTGCTTCAGTAATGCTTTAATGTCAATACAGAAATCATTTTCTTCTCTTGAGTAAGAGGTGTCCATATGTTCCATTTTCAAATTGTTTGATAACTAAAGCTTGTGGAAATACACATATTTCATGTTTCTGACATGTGGGTGCGTTTCAATAGTATTTTTGAGAATTCTTCCTATGCGTAGCAGGTTCCAGGTCTCTCTCTTGCTGGTAGAGATGTCTTAATGTTTCTGCAAGCAGCTCGTTTAGATTGCAAATGTTGATGTGTCTGGATGTGTTAGGGCCAGGTGGGTAAGCAACACCCATAGTGATTGTGTAATGCCTGTGCAAATTGCAGTGTCACTAATCACAGTGTTCCAGCTTGTTGCCCTGATTAGATAGCAAATTACTTGCTGTTTAAATCTGGTGAATTAGATTTTTGCTTGGGAAACAGATCAGTGAGTCCAAAAATAAAAGCCAATGCAACTGTCCTTGAGGTAGAAGACTTGCTGGACAGTTGAAGTGTGAAAAACTTTGACTAAAAACTTTGAATCCTGATTTTTTTTCATCTTAAGTATTTGTCTCAATATTAAGTATTTGTCTCAATATTATTTGTCTCTTTCTGTCTCAATGTGAGGTTCTAAATCAGCCACCCAATGTCAATAATTGAGTGGCAAAAGGAAAACAAATTGAAGCTAATTCATTCAAGACCAGAGGTACTTGTAATAGAGTACAGGGAATAGGGATATTTTGCCTGTATTGAGTGGCACTGTATTCCCCTTGGAAAGTCTGGACTGCAGATTGGGTGTCCTCCCTGCATCCTCACCTAATTTTGATGCATAGTATTGGTGGTGCATCAGGAATGTTTGCACAGTTAACACAAATGTGCAAAATTCCCCAATTCCTGGAAATGTGAAGTCTACCTTAAGCAACAATGGCATATGCCATTGTTCCATCCCGTGTGGGCATACTACACCCTGGGTGAAGCTGCTTTTGTACATATTTATTTTTAAATATTATAATGGTCAAAAATCTTGGGCCAACCTGGCCAGTGACAGGAAACACATGACTCTTTTGTTCTGTCACATCATTGTATACTGTTTCATCACACAATTCAAAATACAGTTACTAATATACAAAGCCCTAAAAGACTTGGTCCCAGGTTATTTGAACAACTATCTTCTTCCAACTCTTAAGATTCTTAGAAAGCAGACCATTCTCTCTTTTTCTTCTGTATGAGAAGTCTATCAAGTGGGTGGGAATTCACTTGCAGCCTCCATCTTGTACTCATCAACAACTGGTAGAGACAAATTAGTGCTGTCCTCCATTGATTTATCTAGTATCTTTTGAAGCCATCTTAGCTGGCATCTATAACTACATCTTGTGACACGGAATACTATAATTCAGCCTTGTGCAATTGAAGAACTTTACACACCCTTTTCCTTAGTTGGAGGTTGGGCTGTCTCTGTTTTTTTATTTGGACTAGTTTTTGGCATTGAAGTCATTGCGGGGATAATATTGGTTTTAATCTGGTGGATGCTGATTTTCCCCATTCTGGTTAATACGTTTTGTGGTTATTTGTTTAATTTTAGTGTTAAGATCACAAGTTTATTACTTTTGTGTTTTTTTTATTATTCTCATTCAGTATTAATGTTAGTGGAAACAGGTGACATAAATTTACCGAGTAAGTTGACACCGAACAAAATAATAACTATTATTATTATTATTATTATTATTATTATTATTGTTATTATTGTAGTACAGGTGGTCCCAGTGGTCATTGGTGCACTGGGTGCCGTGCCAAAATATCTCAGCCAGCATTTGGAAACAATAAACATTGACGAAATCATGATCTGTCAACTGCAAAAGGCCACCTTACTTGGATCTGCATGCATCATTCGAAAATACATCATACAGACCTAGATGCTTGGGAAGTGTTCGACTTGTGATTTTGTGATACAAAATCCAGCATATAGATTTCATTTGCTGTGCATTTGTGTCAATAATAATAATAATAATCTTTATTTATATTCCACCCTGTCTCCCCAGAGGGACTCAGAGTGTATTCCAAACAGAAAAGACAAACATTCAGTGTCCGAACACAACAACAATACATCCATAGTAACGAAATTTGGCAAAACATGTTGCCATATGGATGCTTGCATATAAAAAGGTGCCCATCAGCTACTCCCCTCTTAGCTGTTCT